GCCTTTCCTGGCTTTAACTGTGGAGTAGAATTTTCCATCTTTCTCCGGCTGTCAGAAACTGGTTTTAGTTAAGCACAGTAGAATGTTTTTTATTTTGATATATTAAAACTATTGCAACAACTGCAGCAAATTTAATCTCTGGCTACATTAAAAATTTGAATGCAATATTTCAAGAAAAATATTTTACTTACCTCGAGTTTGGAACAATGACTGTACAAAAAACAACTCAGGAGGCAGATGGAACACATCCAAGCTTGAGCCACATTACGGATTTTGTCTTCCATCCCAAAAGCTCTAACTCAGAACAAATCCATTTTATTGAGAGAAACTCTGTTAGGCATTAGGTACTGTTAGGTGAACACTGGGTATCCAAAAAAAGTCCTTCACATGCATTAAGTTTCCACAAAAGAGGGGTTTTAAAATCAGTTCCTAATTTAACAAGTAAGTTTTCACCCATAGCATATAATTAGCATGAACTGAGTATCACAAAATCATTCATACACTGCAATGTTGTTTTTCAACTACAGATGCAGTTTATTTCCCCATAAAATGTGCATTTCCCTAAACTTTTATCACAGTACAAGCCTATTTACCAGCGATTTGTATCAGTGTTTTCTTCCCACATGCCCTGCCCTGCCAGGCAGCCCAAGGAAGTTCACAGGCTGCTCCTGACCGTCTGCTGCCACTGCTCTGCTCGGGGCTTCCGCAGCAACAAACGTGACCACAGACATCCGGGCTGGGCCAGCACGCTGCGAGCCCTGAACGTGGCAGCAGAACAAGGGACACTTGTGATCCCCACTGATAAGGACTGCATGCACAGAGCCACCCTACTGTGGCTGCATTTCCCCTCAGAGCCACCTCAGAGCCGTTGGACTCGATGAGCTTTGAGGCCTTTCCCAACCTGAACAATTCTCTGACTCCATGAAACCTCACAGCAGCCAAACAACACAAACACAAAGCACACAGGCTCTGCTCGTTCTCTGTAAGGGTGGCGTTATTTGCATTTATTGTGACCATCTGACAAAAAAGGCCTTCGGGGGATTTAAATGCAAAATATAATTTTTTACACAATTTCCATCTCTCCATGTACTACTTCTCTGGGATTCAAACTTCTGAAGGATGAAGGAGCCTCGCCAGCCCTCCCAAAGCACTGAGCTGTTGAATAGGACAAGAGCTGGTGGTTACACATGCTCTCATCATTTCCAACAGCTCTTCTCCAGAACTCTTCTCCCCTGGAATGTTCCAGGAAGCCCTTGACACTGGTTATATATCCCCAGTAGCACCAGCAAATTCTCTGGTGCCTTACTGGGAAAAGAGAAGAGTAATTGCAAGCAAATGTTCTCCAGACCATAGGCCACTTTCATCTTCATTTACTGGGAGAAGACCTAGATCCTTTCCCAAGCAAAGAGACTATACAAGAAAAATACGAACTCCCCACATCCTTAACTTTGTGAATGAAAAATAAATTAAAATTTCCTTTCCTCTCTAAAACCATCCATAAACAGCGGCAGGTCCGTGTAATACAGGACTCTGACTCTGGAGATCATCTCTTCTTTCTGCTGTGTCTGCAGTCGCAGTAGGAGGCAAGGAAAGAAAACCACTCACACAGCCATCAAAACAAGGGAGGAAGGCAGAGCTGGGAGAGACAGAAATGTGGATATAGATCACAAAGACGAAGCAATTGGCTCCACAGAGCATCTGGACAGCAGACATTTGATGTGGCAGTTTCCACAGCCCACAACACTGGCAGTGGCACAGGGCAGAGCTCAGCCCACCACATCAGTGCTGGCACTTCAGTTCCACAGCCACAGCCTCCAGTTTCAGCCATACCCCTGGAACTGCAGGGTGATGTTGGATGAACAAATTCTCTCAAAGTCCATACTCAAGACCAGTGCAGTTGTTGGCAACAAACGTAAGACCACGAAGAATTTAAACAGCTGGTTCCCTTCCACATAAGATCAATAAAATGGGCAATCCAGCTGCTTTCAGGAAGAAAGGGATTCTGGTGCTGGGCAATCTCTTGCCCCAAAATCAACAAAATACCAAAATCTTGTGGAGAAAATCACACGTTGGATTTGTGCCATTCAGATTCTTCCCTCCTCGTATCCTTTTCTACCAAGACCAAGAGTCTTGACATCTACCAAGATGTCAATCATCATACTTTCCAGAAATCCCTTGAAACATACTCATAAAATGTCTTTGCTTAGACAAGAGCTTCACACAGTGTTTTTTTCCTTACAGATATATCATCCTGAATATAAACATTATAGAGAACAGTGCCTTGGGGAAACATTTTCTACACTGTGATGTGGCAAATTATACCATATAGCAAAGCAGGACTTGCCAATAACAGACCACAAAATTTGGGCACCCTCCAAGACTCACAGCCCCAAGGCGTGAGGTGTGAAGCAACCTCAGCCCTTTTCCATTCAGTGGGAGACACTTTCCAGTCCCACAAAATTTTCTTCAGCTTACAGAAATGGGGCAGGAAGGAGGAGATTTGATACTTATTTCTGGTTTGCTTCTACTCAGGCAAATTAGCCTTTTAAAACCCAAAATAACACAGTGCTGGGTGTCACTACAGTACAAGTAGTGAGAGCCCTGCCCAGGCTGATGTTACCCAGTTCAGTCACTTTGCTGCAAACAGCCTTGTCCCTGTTCCATTTCTCTGTAGCAATCTTCTCTGATGTGGATTTTCCATTCCTGGAGTGGGTTATTTCAGATTCAGCACCCAGAATGGCTTCTCTGGTCCTCCAACCAAAGCCTGTCTCACCAACAGTTTTAAGAGCCACAGAAACAACTCATTCCCATTCCCTCCAAAGAGGTGCCTCTCTGTCTTACTTTAGGTTGAAACATCGATTAAAATTCTTATACTGGAAAGAAAACATCACCCAGTGAGGTGCTGGGCCGGTCCTGCCAACAGAAACACCCTCAGTGTACGCAGGAATCTAAGAATGTGCAAGTCTTGCTGCTCTTGAACTGCTCCAGCTTTAGACACAGTCATAAGTGTGTGTGCGTATATATATAAAAATATACACGTCATAAAACTGGCAATCATGTGCACATTACACTCAAATTCCCCAAAAAACAGACTACACCAACGCTACATTCAAATTCCACAGGCAGGGATGCACAAAGGAGCCTGAAAGGCAGCAGTTAGTCAGACTGGAGCTTTGTAACATGTACAACCCACACAAGGACCAGGCAGCACTGTAGAAGACACTAAGATAATGATTAAAAAACTTAATTTAAAACCAGAAAAACACAATTGGGATTGAGATCTGTGCTTGCACCCCTAGAGCTCAGTATGACCAGACAGACAGAAATCAATAGGTGCCATGAAGAGGGCGCTGATAAAAATCTATAGCAACTGAAGCAGTCAACTTGAAACCTATTAACAGCTGCATTAGAAAGAAAGGATTACTTTTCCAATCTGCTGCTTTCCTTCCAGATGATCATTCTGTATGAACCCAGCAGAAATCCCTTTGGGTCCCTTTTATGAATGAACTACTCAGGATTTCAAGACCCTCCCTGGTCAGCATGAAATAATCCTCTGCTTTTCACCACCAGCACCAGCACTGTCAGCGCTGGCATCAAGTTTACTAAACATGACCCGGGAAGGGAGGGACAGCAGGGACACCTGAGGCACAGGCTTCTGTGCCATCTGCAGCCCGTCACCCCAAGCTTACCAACTGGTATTTGATCTGCTGAAGCCCACAGACCAGTGGCTGCACTCAAGCAAAGAAGGAGAATGCAGTGAGGGCTTATTTTTGTCTTCTGTACATCACGGTCCTCCCAAAGTTTGGGGACCTGAAGCGTGAACAGTGACAGGAAAAGGTCATCATACAGCCACCGCTCAGACTCTTTATCTCCTCGTAGTAAAAGTCACTGACCATTAACTGCAAATAGCTGGCATTTTCTGAGTCCCTGGCATTTTGTAGTCCTTCAGCACATCCATACCAAGTGCAACCAAATCCCCCGGATTTCAGCCTCGGAGCATCTCCCACATGGATCAAAGAGAAACCAGACGATCCTGAGGACATAAAGCTACACCTGAATTTAGGCACAAATCCCGCTATTTCTGTGTATCTCTTTATTTTCTCTTTGAAAAACACAGTCCGAGCTCTGCCTACAACACACTGGGGCCACGAAAAGCGAAATCCAGTATTCCCAACAGGGCAAGAACCAGAGGCTACTGGGACAGCGGCCACACACGCCTGCCACAATCCGCGAGGAATAAACTCATCAAAACCAAATGACGGACGACACATTTAGAATTGAACTTCAGGAACAACAACGACCAAAAAAAAAAAAAAAAAAAAAAAACAAACAAAAAAAAACCACCACCAAATAGTGGTGACTCTGCCTTCCCAGCACAGGGCGAGGGGTGCCAGATCACCGAGGAAATGCCGCTTTCCGTCGGTGGCAGCCGCAGCACCGCCCGCACAGCGCCGGGCGCCGTGAGGGGACCGCGGCTGCCCCGGCCTCTCCCCACACTGCCCGGCCGCCCCCCGAGTCCCCCACCCGGCACAAGTTTCCCCCGGGCGCCGCTTACCGCCGTGGAGCCGGAGGAAGAGGCGATGTAGACCTTGATGACCATGCTGGGAGCGGCGGGATGCGGAGCCGGGCGGGCGGTGGGTGTGTGAGGGCGGCTCGGGCGCGGGCTGGGGCTCAGGCGGGAGGGCGGGCGCGGGGAGGCGGCGGGAGCGCTCGCCCCGCCTCGCTCCGCACTGCCACCGCCCGAGCCCGGAAGGGCGGAAAATGTTTGGTTTTTTTTTTTAATTAAATAAATAAATAAATAGTAAAAAAGGAAAGGGGAAGAGAAAAAAAAAAAAAAAAAAGAAGAAGAAGAAAGAAAGGGGGAGAGGAGGAGCGTTCTCGACGAGCCGCGCGAGACGTGCGGGGGAGGTGGGGCGGGGGAGCCATGGCGGCGGGGCCGCGCCGAGGGGATGCGGGGGCTCGGGCGGGGCGGGGGTGAGAGCGGCGGGGGGGACCGGGGGACATCGCCGGGGCGGGAGACAGAGAGAGGGAAGGAGCCAAGCGTGGGGGGTCGCCATGGTAGCGGCTGATTCCCCTCAGTGTGGGCTCCCCTCAGCACCAGGTCCCCTCACGGCCGAGTCCCCTCATGGCCGCTCCCCTCACGGCCGCTCCCCTCACGGCCGCTCCCCTCACGGCCGCTCCCCTCACGGCCGGGTCCCCTCACAGCCGGGTCCCCTCACGGCCGCTCCCCTCACGGCCGCTCCCCTCACGGCCGGGTCCCCTCACGGCCGCTCCCCTCACGGCCGCTCCCCGGGACCGACGGTCCGTTCGAGGGCAGCGGCAGCACCGTCAGCCTGCTCACTCACCCCGGTCTGGGACACAAGGAGTCAGGGGTAGGTGGCTGTTGATGGGACATGGTATTTAGAATTAAGAATTTCCTTTTAAAATCTATTCCAGCGTGGAAGGTACTAAGTGATGTGCCAGCCCATGCCAAAGGACAGGTGGCGTCCAGTGGAGTTCTTCGCATTCCTGTGGTTATTGTAAAGTATCTTCCACATGCAAAAAAAAAAAAAGCCATCAAATCCCCCACGTTTTTAATGGTTATAGTCATGGTGACACGTTATTGAAGGAAATTTATATCCAGCACCTGTCTCCCACTTGCCTCTGTACTCCAGCTATTACCTCATATATATTTTATTATCTGTTCTGATAGCAGGTTCACAACAAATGGAAAATATGTACAGTGATAAGCACAGGAAGCTGCAATTTTACATCTACAAGCTACGATGAAAGCAAGATGTTTGTTCTGCTCTTGGTGAAAAACAAGAGCAGAACTATTTCTGAAATGAGTTTTCCAAATGAGCTTTCCTGTTTCAAATTATTCGTTTTTCTAACAAAAAAAAAAATCTTTTAAAAAACACATTGAATTAAAGGTATTGAATTAATTGCTTTATTAATTTGCCAATAGTAAAGGAAAGAAAACTGTTTTGAGGAGGTTATGCCTCCATTTGATATTACTTATGATACTTATATAAATCTTTGAAGCAGTCACGAGTTTTAAGTATGTTTGAAAAAGCAATAAACCAAAATTGATTGAGGATGATGGTACGCCATAAAAACTCCCTGGTTCAAGGAATTTCAAAATTTAATAAAATAAATGGTGTACTTTTCAATCTGTTTAAAACAAACTGAGTTAAGTCCAGGAGATTAAAATTCTTCAAGGAATGTTTCTTCAGTTGTGTTTGTGCAGCCCCTTCCCAGCTGCTTGAGAAACACCCTGGGAATTCCTCTTGGCTCCAGCATGTAACCTGATTCATGGCAAGGAACGAAGGAGGGAGAAACCCCAGTTTATCAGAAAGAAGGAAAAAGTGCAGGTGAAGAACGAGAGAGAGGGTCATTTGAACTTTGTGCTTCCCTGTTGCATTCCTGGCTGGCTGCTAGCTCTCCTCTCCTTGGAGAACTGGAATCGGCTCCTCAGGGGTGAGATTCACCTAGAGCGAGCTGCACCTCGTCCTCCTGCCTCCTAAAAACGCTGCTATCATCATTACTCTCAAAAGTGCTCTCTAGGAGGCATTTTATCTTCATGAAATGAGATTTATTAAGTTAGGAGCAATACACGAATCAGGTATTGTTGACACAACTTGGTTTTCTTGACTCATAAAAGTAAATTTTCTGCTTTACTGATGGGAAAGTGTGATGTTTTCTGTTCCCACGCTACTCGTCTAAAATTCATGGTGTTGTTTTTGTTTTCACTGTTGAACACTTGGGAAGCTATGAAATACCCTTCTCAATGTAGACCAAAACCTAAAGCAAAATGACCAAATTTTAGGTGCTCCCCAAAGAGGAGCTCAAGGGATTGGCCATCCCAGAGTCTGTGCCAGTGATGGCAAGGATCCCCTCGCTTCTTCCTTAGAGCACAGGCAAGGATGGAGCCTTCCTAGTGCTGGCAAATTAAGCTGTTTTTAAAAAGAACTGTAGGAGAATCTCATAATGAAAGACAGAGCAGTAATCATCTGCAAATTCCCTCTTGTCCTAAAGGTCAGGAAGAACATGCTCCACATGCTCCACAGCTGCTCTGTAACCACTGAGAGAAATTAATCCAGAATCCCCCTGTGAGTAACGTGAGGCTGTGCCAGGGTCTGCTGTCGGACTGTGCTTGTGCCAGAGGAGAAGATCTGGATCTGTGTGAGATGGAGAAGGTGTGATGGGCAAGGGACGTCAGCCCAGCGCTCTGAACAGGAAATCCGGAAATCCACGCTTCATTCCCAGTCCCAGCCTGGCAGAAACTGGAGCCAAAGGGCAAACTGTGACTCAGAGCCCGTGCCCTGCTGCATCCCTGCGCCAAATACTTCGTGGGAGCAGGTGGGGAAGTCCAAGAGGGGTTCCTCATCTGGAAATGCGGCAAGGCCAGGTTTCCTGGATTTAATTCCTTGTAACTGTGGCAGGCACAGGGCAGAGGAGGCCACTCAGGCCGGGGCTCCGTGAGTGCTCCTTTCACCTTTGCAGGGGCAGCAGTGACCGAAGTTACAGCGCAGCTGCCTTAAAACCGCCCGTCCCGCTCAGCACTCACAGACCCGGCTCAGTGCCCCCAGACCCGCCAGTCCCGGCTCAGCTCCCCGAGCCCGGCTCAGCCCCCCAGGCCCAGCTCAGTTCCCCAAACCTGGCTCAGCCCCCCAAACCCGGCTCAGCCCCCCAAACCCAGCTCAGCTCCCCCAAACCCGGCTCAGCCCCCCAAACCCAGCTCAGCCCCCCCAAACCCGGCTCAGCCCCCCAAACCCGGCTCAGCCCCCCCAAACCCGGCTCAGCCCCCCAGGCCCGGCTCAGCCCCCCAGGCCCGGCTCAGCCCCCCAAACCCGGCTCAGCTCCCCCAAACTCAGCTCAGCCCCCCCAAACCCGTCCCAGCCCCCCAGTCCTAGCTCAGCCCCCCCAAACCCGGCTCAGCCCCCCCAAACCCGGCTCAGCCCCCCCAAACCCGTCCCAACCCCCCAAACCCGGCTCAGCCCCCCCAAACCCGGCTCAGCCCCCCCAAACCCGGCTCAGCCCCCCAAACCCGGCTCAGCCCCCCAAGCCCGGCTCAGCTCCCAGGCCCAGCCCCGCGCTGGCTGCCGGGGCGCGCCCCCTGCTGGCGCTCGGCGGGAGCGCGCGCAGGGCCCGGCCCGTTCCCCTCGGCCCGGGAGAAGGAGGAGGAGGAAGAAGAGGAGGAGGGAGTTGCCTGTGGGGCTCTGTGACACACTGGAGGCCTGGGGATGTCCGCATTGGTGCCTTGGCGGGTGGGGTCAGCCGTGCTTTCAAAGAACCGTGGAATTATTTAGGTTGGAAAAGCCCTACAGAAGCGTGTATCCTGCCGTTCATGCAGCACTGCCAAGGCCACTGCTAACCCTTTTCCCTGAGTGTCACATCTACACAATTCTGAACCCTTTCAGGGATGGTGACTCCACCACTTCCCTGTTTTGAAGATAATCTCCCATCCAGAGTGGGGCTGGCCAGCCACAACTCCTTGCTTAGCATTTAATCCCTGCTTTTCCATGCGCTCCAGACTGGCCATCCACCCTCCCAGCCCTGACCAGCAGCCAGCCTGGGCTCTGGCAAGTCCTGTGCCTGCTCCTGAAGTGAAGGGCACTGAGTTACCCTGGAGTACCCAAGAGAAGGGAATACTACAGCTGCAAGACTACAGAAACATCCAGGGAGTAACAGCTTCCCACTAACAGAGAACAGATCTACCTTGGGTACTAGGAAGAAATTGTGCCCTGTAAGGGTTGTGAGGCCCTGGCACAGCTTCCCAGAGAAGCCCCATCCCTGGAAGTGTCCGAGGCCAGGTTGGACAGGGCTTGGAGCAACCTGGGGTGGTGGAAGGTGTTGCTGCTTTGGCAAGGGGTGGAATGAGATGAGCTTTAAGGTCCCTTCCTGGGATTCTGTGATTCTATGAAGTGGAGCATGTAGATAATTGTGTAAAAAACAGAGTTTGACAAGCAACTTATAAAAACTTCAAACCCACAATAAGTCATTTTTCAGTCTTGGCAGGAGTGGGAAGCCTGAAAGCTGATTTCTAATACCAGTCTGTCATGGAGGGCTAACAGCAACATGCAGAAAACACAAAAATTGGGCAGAAAAGCCTGGTGAATTTTTGCATGTGTTTGTGGAGGAGGATGGGGAGTTCCCAGACAGGAACTCACGAGCTCGCCTGAGGATCTGTCTCACGCCAAAGCATCGGGTTGGGGTAGAATCAATGGACACAGCGAATAAAAACAACCTAACCATTGCCAGATGGTCCTCCCTGCACCCCTGGAGTGGGTAAAACTGCTTCCACACACAGCCTCAGGACATGGATGGTGCTCCCAGCTTTTACAGTCCATTCCCAGGGAGACTCAGCAACTGAGAGGGTTGTGACTAAGAAAGCTCAGCAAAGTTTCACAAACCATCCTACCCTTAGCACTGATTCTGAACTTATTTTATTAGAAGTCTTCCCAGAAGCCATTTGAAGATTCCCAGAGAATGTGGGGGTGAGCAACTCTGCGAGCAGACCCTTTGACCAAAGCTGACTCAGTCCTAGGGGACCCCAAGGCCTCTGCAAAGTCCAAGACTGTGAATGCAAGGGGCCATCTCCAGGTATGTAAAAGCCCCCAGCACCTTATGGCAGGCAGCAGACACTGATTTGCAGCCCCATTTCCTTCCTTCCAGCTGGCTCCAAGCTCACAGCCAGTGGGAACTGCAGGTTTCTCACAGGATGGGCTTCAGAAAGGCAGGATTTAATGTTCAGAGCACAAAATGTGTTCTGTCCAGCCCAGTCCTGGGTCAGAGGGAGCCAGGGCCCGACCAGGCTGTTGGCAGATTTTGGGGTTGTGTCTTCTGCCTTTCAGGGCAGCCACCCTTGAAGGCCCAGTTGAGCAAAGTGTCCTAAAACAGCATTAACAGAACAACTATTCCTGTTACTTGGGCTAAAAACCTGGTATCTCATAGAATCTCAGGATGGTTTGGGTTGAAAGAAACCTTCAAGCTCATCCATTGCCACCCCCTGCCATGGCAGGGACACCTTCCACTGTCCCAGGTTGCTCCAAGCCCTGTCCAACCTGGCCTTGGACACTGCCAGGGATGGGGAGTCCACAGCCTCTCTGGTGTTCTAAGTGGATACAGACATTTCCATTTCTTTTTATGCACCAAATTTTTTTTATTTTATGCACTGTGAATAATCTCCTTTGTGTTAGATGAGGAAATACATTTTTGTTTTTTACATCTGTCCTAGATTGGAATGCACCAGCTCCCAAAGGTGCCAGCATTTTTCTGTTTGCCATCAAGGGAGTCCAGCCAACTACAGTGTGAGCTGCTGCTTTGGGATAGATGCCTGAAGCTCCCTGGAAGTAATTTTTGTATCCTCTTACCCGTGTTTTGTGTTTAATACAATTCTGGAGCGTGTAGTCACCCCCTTCACTCTCAGGGACCAGTAAGAAGCTGTAGCTAAGCCAAAGGTTTTATTAAAGCACAGATAAACAAACTCAATGAGAATCCTAAATTCCTCATCCTCATCTTCCCAAATTAATAAGCTCTAAATGTTTTATTGCGATCAATACTGAATTTGACACATAAATCAATTTTTACGCAGGACAAACCACAGAATCACCCAGGACAAACTATAAAATTAACCAAGCACAAACCTCTTCTGTAGATCAATAATCCACTCATCCCAAAAGTTATATAAAATAAGACAGAAGGACACTTCAAACACCAGGTACAGAACACAAAAATGTGTTTTGTAGTATTTTGCCACAAAAATATGAATTCATATTACTGGTCATATGTGCCATGACTACGACACCCACAGAATCCTAATTTCCCTTCCTCTGAACTCGTGACTCTGGGGATGTTGCACAGTTAAATGAACCAGGCTGAGAGCAGAATGTGTGGAAAGGAATCTCCAACATTCCAACCCCCGTGAATTTTAGCACAAAGGAATGAGAAAGGAACAGGTATCTGACTGCCTGTTTCAGGAAGGTGAGAAGTCAATCACCCAAGAGTGACTTAGGTCTGTTCTGCCTTTATTCAGGAATGTCCTCATCTACTTCAGCTCAAGAAGGTGGTCCAGGAAAACATTCCTGAAGTACTACAGATCTCTGATAGCAGAAGCAGGACTCCTCCTCTGCAGGACATTCCCAATTTTCAAACCATTCCTCAGCGTTTGAGCATCACTCTCTAAGTTCAGTGTGGGCTGTTCAGACTGATCATCCTGTGCTGGTCACTTTTGGTTTGATGTGGGCTCATGCTTCTGTCTGCAGACTGGATGGGTTTACCTCGGGAGTCATTGACTCCTTACAGAGAGAATTCACATTTTAGCATGGAATTTTGCTCATTGAAACAGTGGTACACAAAAAGGAGATTAACTTCTGATTCATTGCTTTGATTTTATATGGTTCATAAATTCAGTTTTAGGGGATTTTGTACTGAATAAAAAATGCCAGTTTGGGCAAAAACATCAAAAAAAAAAAAAAGTCACATGTTACAAAGTAATGCTCCAGAATAAACCTTTTCTCTTAGCTACAACCAGGTCTGTAATTTCCTACATAGTTATAGCCATTTATACTTGCAGCATACCAGCATCTCACAGCAGCTTATCTTGTCTCTTTAGAGGGAAATAATCTTCTCACTAGCCATTATTTAGGTCAGTTTGTGGTTTAATGAATTTTCTTTTCTTAAATAAAAGTGTTTGAGAAAATGTAAAGGTGAAAAAGAAGGCAGAGCAAATACAACGCAAAAATCAGTTGTGAATTTAAAATCTGTGCTTCACTTGCACATTTTGATCCAAACTGATGGTCGTGCAAGTTCAGAAGATGTTCACAGACCCTTCAATAAATGCTCTTTTCTCTTCCACAAACTTCTTCCAGAATATAGAAAAGATGAAAGGGCAACTGCAGGGAGACAGGGGAAACCTCCTGAAGCCAGTCAAGCACAAACCTTGATGGTAATGGAGAACTCGGAGAACAAGAGCTCTTGAAATGTGTTTCAGGCCACGTTTAATTCAGAAGATGGAGAAAACTACTGAAAACACTATTTTAAAATCTCAATTAACTCAGGAGAACTCGAAGGAGGTGTGATTGTATTTGGTTACATGGTTACACTGAGGCTGGAAAATGCATTTCCCAGGATTCAGGTCAGTCAGAGCCATCCTTAAATAATTGGTGTGTTTTAACAAAATAATCATGGCATTGATGGATCAACATTGACTGGAGGAAGGGGGAGAAGGGTGGCTCCGTGGATGGGAAATAGCTCAGCTTAACTGCAAAGTGCAGGAAGATAATAAACTATTGACATCTCGGCCCTGGGAGAGAGAGGTGACGTAAAAAGTGACAAATCAAAAAGTCACCATGAATTTGTCAAGAACGGGGGAACAGCTGTTCAGGGAGCACTGAAAGGGATCCGGGGATTACAGGGGATCAGGAGGAGTCTGAACCAACATGGGGATGCTGTTGCTGACTCTGCAAATGCCACGCTCAGATCTGTTACCTAATTAACCTGATTACAGACCTGGGCAGGAATGTGGTGTCCAGAGGAGCCTAAGAATGATTAAAAGTTTAGAAAATATGGCCTACGAGATCATGAGGCCTACAAGAATTTGTTTAGTCTATAAGAATAGTTTTAGGGAGAAAATATTATGTAAAATCACACAGTCTGTAAAATGTTATTGGAATTTGATGCTCATTAATCGCTCTTTGGATCTGCTGGACACGGCACAAAGATGCTGAAATTCACAACCAAAGCACAGTTTAGATGCTGGGGGAAACTTTGTGCGGTTAAGGCCGGTTGGGTGGTGGAACTGGATTTCTAGGAAGCATGCAGAATCCAGTTTAATGTAGGTTTTAGAAAGGTTTGTCCTGGCTTTGGGCAGGAACAGTGACACCTCAGAGCAGCAGCTCCTGCTTCAAGTGTCAGTGCAAAGAGTCCTGAAGGTAGTATTAATACACCTTGTTCTTTCCCTTTGGAAATACACAAAATAGCTGGTGGAGGCACTGCCAGCCATTGCAGCTATGATGGAAACGAGAGCTGATTTTCCTTAATCCACGCCGAAATCTGAGACTTCACCTTGTGAACAACCTCAGGCTCGCAGGCCCCGCTCGGGGGCCAACCTCCCCAGCGTCAGCCGAGCTGCAAGACCCCAAGAGGCCGGAAGGAGCCCGGAGCGCTCAGACAATCCCGGGGCAGCTGAACCAGCGGGGCCGGGCCGGACAAAGGCCGCAGCTCCCTCCCTCCCTCCGCCGGCCGAGGCCACGGCCCTTTCCAACAGGTACCGCAGGGCCGGGCGGCGGCGGCGCTCGGGCAGGCCGCGGGGCCGAGGCGGCCATGTTGTGGGGCCGCGGCCTGCGGGAAGTTCGGGGGAAGTTTGCGGGCGGGGGCCGGCCGGGGGCGGCGGGCGGCGCGGGGCCCCGCGGCGGGCGGGCGGGCGGAGGCGGCGGCGCCGGGGCCGCGCTGAGGGCCGCGCACACGCGGAAAGCGCGCGGCGCTCGCGCTACGCCGGCCCCGCCCTCGCCCCGCCCCCCGCGCCGCTCCCCGCGCTCCCATTGGCCGACGCGGCCGTCAGTCAGCGGCCGGGCCCATCTCGCGCTCCCCATTCATGCAGTTTGGTTGCGTGTTGGTGTATTTTACTGTTTGCAATAAAGAGGGGGGGATTTTTTTTTTTGTTCAGTTTCTGCCGCAATTAACTCTTGGTCCCTTAAACATCTTCCTTTTTATTTTTTGGGTTTTTTTTCCTGTCTATTTTTTTCTTTTTTTTTTTTTTTTTTTTTGCAGGACGGTCGGAACAGTTTTTCGCCGCTTCCATTTATTTTTCGATATCTTATCTCTATTAGGTTTTGCAATCAACTATTAAGGTGCAACTATGCCCAAAAGAAAGGTAAGTACCAAAAAAAAATAATTAAAATACGAGGGAAGACAGATGGGGAGCGAAGGGGGAGAGATTAAAGCGGCAATCGCGGAAATTTAGCTGTAAAAAAAAAATTTAGCGCGCGCGCGCGTGTGTGTGTGCGTGGAGTTTTTTGGGTTTTTTGGTTGGTTTCTCTTTTTTTGCATTTGTAATTTTTGGTGTATGTCCTAGAGCGGAGCGGGGAGCGGAGGGAGAGGGCTCGAGGCTGGCAGGGCAGCGCGGCGAGTTCACTTTTGGGCTGTTTTGTTTGGGAAGGAGGAGAAGGCAGGAGCAGCAGTGTCTCCATGCTGGATTACAAACAGCCATAGCGCTGCGCTGCCCCTGTGGAGAACGCGGGGCAGCAAAACCCCCCCAAAACCTGCGCCACGACCCCCCCCACCCACCTCCGCCAGCCTTTTAATCCCCATCGCGCCATTCCCGGCTGGATTCGCCTTTAAACGTCGCCTCTTTATCCTGCGTTTGCCTTTGTTCTCTTTTTTTTTTTTTTTTTTTTTTTTTTTTTTTTTTTTTTTTGCCTCCCACTTCTTGTCATACCAGATGGTTGTGCAATGGTAATTTGGGGCCATTAGGCGGCGCAGAATTTGAAACTGGCCTTCCAAGGAAAAAGCGGGGGAAAAGGGATTTATCACCGTGGTCGGGAACTTTGGGGGCAGCGGGAATATGGGGCGCCCCCCCCACTTCCCTCACAGCGCGGGCTTGGGGGGCGGGGCGGAGACGCGGTCGCGCCTCAATCACCGAGACACCCGCCCGAGGCGTTTCGACCGGGTCCGGGCCCCCGGCGGCCTCGTCCGAGGCCGCCGGGGGCCCGGACCCGGTCGAAACGCCTCGGGCGGGCGCCATCGCCGCGTTCCCGGTTGTCCCTCATTGTCCTTGCGGGGCCCGCGGCGACCTTGTTGTGTGAGGGGAAATTGGCGGGAACTTTTCGAACTCGGCGTGATGACGTAGCGACGGCGGCCGCGGGGCATTGTGGGAGTTGTAGTCCGTGTGGCGGCGGGGATGGGGGGAGGCCGCCATTGCTGTGGGTGGTTTTGGGGGTCCCCTCAGGGTTTAGGTGGAGTTACAGGGGGTGGTGCTGCCTTCTCACCTTAGTGTCTCGCTTTCCTTGCAGGCTCCAGCTGAAGGCGAGGCAAAGGAGGAGGTAGGAGTTGTGTGTGATCCCCACTCCAAGAATTCCCGTGGGGTTCTGCAGAAATTAGGAAGGCCACGCAGCTCATGAGGGGTGTTCAGCTCCTGGGAGTGGCCTGTGCCTGGTTTTGGGGTGCTCAGGGCCATCACTGTCCTCTGAGGTGGCACTGGGGGTCCAGCAGCTCCCCTGGGCTGAGGTCAGGGACAGGTCCCAGTGGGAACATCCCTTTTTGTCCCTTTTAGCCTCACAACTCCTGCAAGTAAAGAAACTTAATCCCTTACCTTGTCAGCAGAGAACTGCTGAGCAAAGTTGCACTTCTAGGAAGTCACAGAATACCCTGAGCTGGGTGTACAAGGATCATGGAATCGCAGCATGGTTTGGGTTGGAAGAGACCTCAAATATCCTCTGGTCCTGTCCCATCTCCCACCATCCCAGGGTGCTCCAAGCCCTGTCCAGCCTGGCCTTGGATGCTTCCAGGGATGGGGAGTCATCAAGGTCCTCACCATAATGCCCATAATTTCATAAATCCTAGGGTTCCTATGGGGCTTCATGATGCCACGTTGTTTTGGGTGGCTGTTATGGGAAAGCTGTGCTTTATGTGCTCTCTGGATTTCACTGACATATCTTTCCTTATGCAGCCAAAGAGAAGGTCAGCCAGACTATCTGCTGTGAGTATCTCTATTTATCCTTTCATATTTTATCACTTGGGATGGGGACAATTAAAAATAAACCATGAAGGGTTTTCCTCCAGAGTTGGGAAAAGCATGCTTAGAGTATTGCAATATTTAAAATTCCCATTCCATGTTTCTGTTCCCTGAGCATCCCCACATCCCAAGTTTCTCATATGAGATACAATGTCTGTGTTAGTGCACATTCCATCTGGGCACAAGTATCCAGAGTTAAGGAAAATTGATTTCAGGATGGATTTGGTCCCTGTAGGACTTCTCCATACAAATCCTCGTGGCTCTGTAAATCACCTGCTCTCTCCTTAGCCTGGTAATTTGCCCATTGATTTTTTGCAGGGCCAACAAATAATTTTCAAAAGCTACCAACATAATGCTCATAAAAAGAAGTATTTATTTCTGGTATTCACCTGACTTGTTTCTTGTGGTTTTTTGCAGAAACCTGCTCCACCCAAACCGGAGCCAAAGCCCAAAAAGGCAGCACCTAAGGTAAGGGTCTTTAACTGAAGTTATGTTTTCCTTCTTGAGGTATTTACAGGGATAAACCCCCCACAATTAACCACTTTGCTTATTCATAACTATCTTGAAAGTTTTAAGATGGAATTCTGTGAGCTAAAAGAATGAGAAAGACATAATTTTATCCAATTTCTACTGAAGCAATGTGGTAAACTGAGCAGATTTGAAATCCCTTGTGGTGAGGCTTTGCTGCTGCTTTACAAGGCCATTCTGAAGTTTCATATAATGCATTGTTGGGAAAATGATGTTTGGAGTAGAGATCAGAGACTCAATTAGAGAAGGCATTGAAAATCATGCTTTTAATTACAGTTTCTTTCTATATTTCCATTCTGAGGCCCTCTGCAGTTAGTTATCAGTTTATCACATTTTAATCACTCAGAGTTCTAGAGACCCCTTCAGCTGGATATTTTTGGAAATGTCAAAAACATTGGCATGTCTGACAGTATAATTTAAAAGTAAACTATT